AGCAGGGAGCCCGATGCGGGGCTCGATCCCAGGACCCTGGGATCACGACCCGAGCCGAAGGCAGACGCTTAACGACTGAGCCACCCAGGCGCCCCTTGGAGCACCTTTTAACTTTCGTGGAACATAGTTTGAAAACCACTAAGGTAGTAGAAGAAAGAATAGGTTTTCGTGTTAAAGAGACTGAGGTTCAGGGTTTGGCTTTGTGTTTGACTCAGTGAATATCCGTGTGCAAATTGTTTCACCTGTCTGCGGCTCATTTTCCCCATGTATACTGACGGGTGAATTAGAATGTACTTTTCACTGTTGCTGTGTGGTTTAAATGAGGTGAATGTGGTGACAGTTTGCAGGATAGGTACTGGGACACGGTAGCACAAGACAAGAGGTGCCCTTCTCTTAAAGCATGACAAGGCAGCTGGTCAGAACCATTTGGAGAACCACTTGACTCTCTTCGATTTTGGTACCCAACATACCTCTCGGATCTCAAGTTCACATGTGCGAAAAATAGGCAATTTCAGGTAGTCTCACATCCATCTGAGCTCCCGTGCCACCTTGTAGTGGGAAACCCAACCAGTCTAGGCATTTCCCTACCTTCTGGTTGCCCCATTTCTTAGTCTTCTCCTAGGATAGTGGGAGATTCTCCACTCATCAATTACGTGTTTCTGAGAAGAAACCCCTTCTCTCAGCCCTTGGGGACCCTTCAGGTGTACTTTTCTGCTACTGGGGACCTGGGTCTCCCACTCCCTCCGCCATCCTGCTGTTTTCTAGGGGCAGTGACTGGTCACTGTGCCTATGAGAAACTTGGACTTCTTTGGCAGCTGAGGAGATCTTCTTCTTGCTCTGGGAGAACTCTTTCTTACCCCACACTCTCCTCCCTCTATGTACTTAAGACTTCTTTTCCCATCACATCCTGTTTTCTTCAATGTTTTTAGCTTTTCTAATCCCATGAACCCATGAGGGTAAAGAAAAAGGACTCTCTTTGGGAAGGCACAGCACTGTGGCAATTCCTTTGGGTGAGCAGGTGGTACTTTTGGGTGAAGAAAAAAGGCACATTTCCAGTGGACAGAGGTGGCCCCATACCAAGGACAGGCAGTTTGGCGAGCGGGGGGTTGCTCAGACCCGCCCAGGGGTCCTCTGTCGAGCTGCCCTGTGGCGAGATGGCACAGGATTTGCCACAGGCTGAAATGGGAGAAAGGAAATTCAAAAACAGAGGAAACAACAGAAGGTACAGCCCCCAAACGTACCTTGCTACATGTGTTTGGGTTTATTTTATGTAAGGAGATTACAAGAATGAGGACGTGCGGGACAATAAAGGACTTGAATATATAGGATCCTGAAAAAATGTTTGGAAGACCAGGTTGTCTAAGTACGTGTTACTGAAACTGACTTAAAATCATCATTAATGGCCTGCTTTTGTCTAGCTTTTAGCAAAATCCTTAAGAATGACAAGGAGAGACCCTCTTGGAAATGAAGTTTTTCTAATTGCTTTGTCTTTTCTTTTCCTAAATCATAATTTGGCAGATGTTTCTTTTTGTGTTACTGCTTTGTTTCCTAACCTGAGGTTTGTTGTACTTAGAGAAAAAAAACCTTATCTTTCAGTTCAATATATCGGATTTCCTAAACACATACTTTATTTTCTACTTGGGATGTTCGGATCATTTGTAAACACAAGGATTAAAAAACCTCCGGTAACACAGTGTCCTAATGTTGGTCTCTTGAGAAAGTCTTTTGCCTCAAGAGTTTGTATGCTTCTAAAGAGATTTAGTTGTCAGACCTTATTCTGTTTGGTGTAGTTAAAACGTTCCCTAGAAACCATAACAATGTGGAGGTTTAAAAAAGGTCCAGTAACTTTACTTGAGTCATATAAACTTTTACAATAAGAGGATTTAACTTCATTTCATCAGAGGGAAACTTTGGCTTTCATGATGTTGTCTATTTAGTTTCCTTTCCTGTGAGACTGAAGCTCAAAAGATTGCTCCAATTTGTCCAGATCTAATTGAAAGCCAAAGCGTCTTAATCATAATACTGTGTTTCACGATCCTGGCTTACTTAATTTTTGGAAGAAATGGTGGTAGATTGGGAGTTTTAGTAGGATGAAGCCAGGCTGGCTTATGATTTGGTTGTTTGGGACCAATTAGAGAAGACAGCTGAATACAACAATTTAAGGATTTTAATAATACATGCAGGCAAGATGGATGTTATGAAAATCTCTTTCTTCCTCCTTGAAACAAGAGTAGTGTTTTTCCTTGAATTTTTCATAACATCACTAACTCTTAACTTGGCCTTTGTAGAATTTGTTGCATATGAAGGAGATCTTCATGGAAAGCTGTAATGCTATACCAATCTTACGTATTAAAAAAAGAAAATATTAGAGATCATAGTAAAATGAACTAGAATACATAGATAAACACAGTGTAGAGCTGCATAAACTAATGATACAGGCATGTAGAATCCAGTTTTTATTCACATGCTACTAATTTTTGATTTGTTACTTAGATTTTGTATGTTCTTAATTTGACTTAACTTTTTTTCTGTGTGAATCAGATTTAAATTTAGAAAATCTCCTGTTGGGATCTGTTTTATTTAGTCTTTAGGCAGTTGCTGAAACTCAAGAAAGAACAGCTATAGATTTAGAGAAGGTTCTGGAACTTAAAAAAATACTTTTAAATTTACATTCAGTGAAATTAACTTTTGTGATGCACATGTCTATAAGTTTTTTTAAAAAAAGATTTTTTATTCATTTGAGAGAGAGAGTGTACATGCGTGTGTGCGAGAGCACAAGCCGGGGGGAGGGGCAGAGGGAGAAGGGAGAAGCAGACTCCCCGCTGAGCTGGGAGCCCAAAGATGTGGGGCTCGATCCCAGGATGAAGGCAGACGCTTAATTGACGGAGACACCCAGGCGCCCCTGTAAGTTTAGACAAATGCAGACTCATGTGATCACCTCCATCACCTCCCACAAAATTACCTCATTTTGCCCCTTTGTAGTCAACCACTTTCCCCATCCTTAAACACCATTCTCTGTCCCTGTAGTTTTGCCTTTTTCAGAATGTGGGCAAAACTTCCCTGCGTTGTTCCATGTATCAGTAGTTCATTCTTTCTTAGGGCTGACTATTCCAGTGTATATCACAGTTTATCCCTTCACCAGTTGAAGAACATTTGGGTTGTTTACAGTTTTTGGCAGTTATGAATAGAGTTACATGTGGGTTTTTGTGTGAGCATTAAGGTTTTATTTCTCTTAGATAAATACCTAGGAGTGGGATTGCTGGGTCATATGGGGTCATATGTAAGTGTATGTTTAAGAAACTATCAAAGTGGTTTCTAAAGTGGCTCTGCCATTTTGCATTCCCACCAGCAGTGTGCAAGTGATGCCGTTTTTCTATATCCTGGACAGCTTTTACCTTAGCAGGTTTTGCTTGTTTGTTTTTGCCATACTAATGATATATAGTGGTGGTGTATCGTTTGTGACTTACATTTTCCTAATTATTAGTGCTGTTGAGCGTCTTCTCACGCACTTACTTTCCATCTTCATATCTTCTTTGGTGAATTATCTGTTCAGATCTTGTGCTTGCTTTTAAATTGGGTTGTTTGTTTTCTTACTGTTGCATGTTGAGGGCTCTTTCTAAACAAATCCTTTCTCACATATGTGATTGTCAAATATTTTGTCTCTGTAGCTCATCTTTTTATTCTGACAGTGTCATTTGCAGAGCAAAATTTTTTAATGGTGACGCAGTCCAATTTCTTTTTCCTTCTATGGATTGTGATTTTGGTATCATGTCTAATAACTCTTTGTCTAGGGGCGCCTGGGTGGCTCAGTCGGTTAAGCGTCTGACCTCGGCTCAGGTCATGATCTCAGGGTCCTAGAATCGAGTCCTGCCTTAGGCTCCCTGCTCAGTGGGGAGTCTGCTTCCCCCTCTCCCTCTGTGTTCTCTCTCTCTCTCTTTCAAATAAATAAATAAAATCTTTAAAAAAATAACCCTGGGGCGCCTGGGTGGCTCAGTCGGTTAAGCGTCTGCCTTCGGCTCAGGTCATGATCCCAGCGTCCTGGGGTCGAGCCCCGCATCAGGCACTCTGTTCAGTGGGGAGCCTGCTTCTCCCTCTCCCTACTGCTTCCCCTGCCTGTGCTCTCTTTCTCTCTCTGTCAAATAAATAAATAAAATCTTAAAAAAAAAAAATAACTCTTTGTCTAACCCTAGGTCACAAGAGTTCCCCCTATGTTTTCTTCTAGAAGTTTCATAGTTTTGGGTTTTACATTTAGGTCTATGATCCATTTTGAGTTAATTTTTGTAAAAGATGTGAGGTATGAGTCAAGGTTCATTTCTTCTTTTTTTCTTCCTGCAAGCGGATGTCCAGTTGTTGTAGCACATTCTTCAAAAACACTGTCTTTTCCCCTCTGATTGCCTTTAAGGTGTTGAAACTGTTCACTTCAAGAAATTATGCTATACTTTTCTATAATAATTTTGGTTATTTAGTTGTCTATTATTTGTATTTTTATCACCTATCCTAAACTTTCCAGAGAGAGTTCTAAATTTTGCAAAGATTTCTCAAAACAGAATTATAATTTGATTCCTTTAAAATAAAAAAAAAAATCACTCAATGCGGTACAGTATTTTAGGGGTATGGAGGTAGAAAAATGTGATTAATCAACTCTGTCCGGATTGGCATTTTTGTAAAATACTGCAGTGAGGAGAATGCTGGATCTGGTAACGGGAGACTGTGATTCTCCTCTGAGCTCTGCCCGGCCATGTTACATTGGAAAAGTCACCTCAGTTCTTTGGCTTTTGTTTCTCCACAAGAAGGGGGAAACCAAATCATCTCTAAGACCTATTTCAACTCAGATAGCTTTGATGCTATTCATTATTGGTAGAACCTCAAAAGGGTTAGAATCCATGAAGCAGGGGCCGGTCTCTGATACTTTATAATTTCTGTCTTTGCTGAAGTACCTATTTGCCTATCACTCTGAGTGCAGGGAACTGTCTCTGTACTGGTGACGAGACTTAGACTATCCCTGCGGTGCACATTCCATGATTCTTGGTACAATGGTTGGTAAGAATTTATATTACAAGCAGAATGCTTTCTGTTTTGTTTCAACAGCTGGACCAAGCAACTCTCTCCCTAGCCGTGAGGGAAGACTACCTGGATAATACCACAGAAGCCAAGTCTGTAAGTTTGACTCATATTCACCACTGTGTCTTGTCAGACTGTTGTTGGGTTCATAAATTGTTCTAAAATCCCTGACTCTTTACTGGAAATGAACAATGTGACTGTTTGATGACCATGTTGCCAGTGCAGAAAGCAGAGGCCTTTTATTTAATCAGACACATGGCACACTCTGTCTCCGGAAAGTCTGGCCGTCAAGGCTCAGGGCCCTCATGATCGAGCTGGGGAGACAGCACACCTGAATGAAGTAACCAAGAAATGAGCTTGCAGCCTTTCCTCAGAACTGTAGAGAGCTCACTGTACGTTGCACAAGTAAAGTGTGGAGATTTGACTGGGTTGACATAGTCAGTTAGTGGTTCTCAAATTGTATGGCTTAAGAGTCATCTGGGAACCTCCTGTTAAATGTCGATTCTTGGGCCGCAGCCCAGGAGAGGCCCATGTAGGAGACTTGAAGTGGGGCCCAGGAATCTGTTTTCTTAACAGATGCCACGGGTTAATGCAAGGTTAATAAGGACCAGATGGGATCAGTTCCGATAGACTTCTTGGGTTGGCTGGGAAACCTAGTAGTTTCCTGGAGATTGGAGTAGAGCTGCTTCATTCCTGACACTTTCAATTCATTTTGGAAACATGGTTGAACTTCCAAAGGAGCCTCAGACCCGGGGGACCCTTGACTAGGGAGTTCACTGGTTTCTGGCCCAGCCTAAGAATGTAGGAACGTAGATTGGGAAGTGTTGGGGTCACAATGGAAGTCCCTACTCCTTTGCTGTTACTAAACCTTGTATCTAGAAGGTTCTGGAGGGCAGAAAGCTAGGTAAGATCTTAGGCAACTTTCTGGGTAAGGACACTCATCAAAGAAGGTTGGCATGTTTGTATTGTTCAAAGTGGATAGAATGAACTTTTGCCAATCTGCAGGCACCTACCTTTCTGTTGGGGTCACCACCCTATCAGCAACCAGGCTTGAAACCCCCTCCCCTATCCCCTGTAACCAATCAGTCAAGTCCTGTGGATTCTACTTTCAAAATCTCTGTTCCGTCTGGTCCCTCCTCTCTGTCTTTACTGCCCTAGGTCAGATCCTTGTTAACTCTCGCCTTGACTACAAGTAGCCTTTAACTGTTAACTCCTCCCCTTCGTTTCATTGCCTTCTTAGCACCACTGGACAAGTTCTCTTCTCAAAGTATAGCTCCCAGCATGCTTTGATCATCACATGATCCCAGAACACTTTTTTCTTTTTTTTAAAGATTTTATTTATTCATGAGAGAGAGAGAAGCAGAGGGAGAAGCAGGCTCCCCGCTGAGCAGGGAGCCCAATGCGGGACTCGATCCCAGGACCCTGGGATCATGACCTGAGCCGAAGGCAGACGCTTAACCATCTGAGCCACCCAGGCGCCCCCAGAACACTTTTGCTGCCTCATTTACTTTTGTTTTTCTCCCAACAAAGGCAGCTTACACACCTCACAGGAGGATTATTCACTACTCTTGAACCTGTCTCCTTCAAGTGCTCTGTGCTCATTTCTCCAGGCTGGAATTCTTCTCTACTTTTTGAGTTTCCAAACACTTAGCAGCTTTGTTAAGGAACTGATTTTGGTCTCTCTAATGTTACAGTTAGTAATTACATGGTTATCTCCCTCACTGGATTACACACTGAGAACCAGACTCATGCATTATGTAATTTTTCATCTGTACCCCGCATAAGCCCAGAATGCCTAGCAACACATCCTATACATGTATTGATTGAATAAATAATTTCTTAAATTGAACTGGGAATTATAAAACATTGTTTCTAATTAAGACTCTTTGCCAAGCTTGCTTACTGATTAACAAATATTTATTAAAGCCCTGCTATATGCCAAGCACTGTATAGGTCTCAAGGTCATAAACATAGCAAGAATAGCATATATAATCAAGGTGTAAGGAAATCTTAGTCCCATAGCATAACCATGTGATAATCTAATATGTGGTATATTGAGTTCTCACAAATAAACCTGAAAGGAGAGGTTACCCTCAACAAGATTCCACAGTTCCCACAGAGTTAAGGTCCCTCTCCAGTGCCATATGTATAGCCTGACAATGGGTTTATGAACATGCAGGGAGGAAACTCTGTATTTGCTATTTGCTGGGTTTCTCTTTATCATTCCTCTCTTCATTCTTTTCTGCCTGAGTAGTGAGGAGAACTTTGTAAAATCCATACAAAACTGAAGAGACAAAGGGTTGCAATCACTGGTCTTTTTATTGCTTAGTGTGAAGGTGGGTAAATTGAGCTGGAAGAGAATAAATCACAGTTTCCACTAGTCTTCATGGATCATGCCTCCTGCTTTTAGCAACCATTCTTTCCCATTATTTTATTAAAACCTCACTTGCCTGGAAAGAGGAGTCTGACCTTTAACTTTCTATTCTGGGCTCATTTGGAGATGTTTCCTGGGCTCATTTGGAGATGTTTCCTGTATCTATAATATCATTGGTTGCCAGAAAACTAGTTCTCTTGATCCTTGGTGGCTGGTATCTGTCTTTCATGAAAACAATCCCCCACTAGCTGCCACTCTTTCTCCCAAAGTGGTGGGTGGATGGTTGGTTTTGCCTCATGCCTGTACCATACTTGGAATATAGAGTGAAATTGAAGAGCATTTACTTCCACCTGCTGTTTTTGCCCTTCTCTGTCCCTGAAACGTACTTTCTGATAGGCTGTTGTCATGGTCACTTGCTTCTTTATCTCTTACAGTATCGGGATGCCCTTTACAAGTTCATGGTGGATACGGCTGTGCTTTTGGGAGCTAATAGCTCCCGAGCGGAGCATGACATGAAGTCAGTGCTTAGATTGGAAATTAAGATAGCGGAGGTAAGTCTTAATGTAAAAATCTCTTTATTTTCTTTTCCTTATTTTAAAAGTAGTACACCATGAGTGAAAATATATATAAAAAGGGCATTCTGTGGCATTGTCCTTTGGATCCAAGGTAGAACTAATAGCATCCCCTCTGGAAAGGAACAGGAAGAAGAACCATGATAGAAAGAAGAGCTCTTCTTTCCTTCTGCCTCCCTGCTTGAAGCCCAAGGGCCGTATGCTGCCCAGCTGTGGCCAAAGAACAGCATCAGGGAGATCCTCTATGTTTTCCCACACGACTTCTGTGTGGTTCCTATAGAAGAATAGTTAGTTAATAAATCCATATTGATTTGGCTTGAGTGAAAGGTTATTTTTCATTTAGTTTACTCTTTATACCAGTCCTACTCAGGGTCAGTCTGACCTAAGATCGGGGCTTTGGGAAGTCTGTTCACCCATCCTGGATACTGGATATACAGTTTGATGTAGAAAGTGTATAGGACATAGCAGTAAGCATTTTTTAGCTGCCATTCTGCTGCTACCTTGTACCTAACCATTTTTCATTCTTTTCTTGCCCCACTTAAGTGCCACTGTGTCACATGCTGTCTTTGCAAGTTACCTTAAGTTCAGGCTCGGGGTAGAGACCTAAGAACAAACTTGAGGGAAAATAATGAGAAATCCTCACTGGTTTGCTTTGTTCAGAACATAACTTCTTTTGTAGAAGAACCAAAGTGTAAAATCCCTGTACATTCTTAGGACTGGAGGGAACAAATGTGAAATCTGTTTGTGGGGATACCTCGTAGTGGGGAAAAAAAACGACACTTTTATCAAGTCTTGCATATGGGTTGGTAGTCTTTTATAACAGAAGTTGGTAAAAATCCTTAGTTGCATATGAGTCCAGGTGTTGCTTGGTTTTGTGTTTGGCAAAGTGGTGGCAGGGTGTTGAGGTATGGAGTAGGGATGATTGATAAGCGTCAGGAGGAATTAGTTTCTCTCAGCTGCAGTGATGTACATGCATACCTCTCTCCAAACTCTTACTTGCAGAGCAGAAAGTTCATTCATGCATGTCACCTTTGAAGACTGTGTGAACACTGCTGCAGATGTTCTGGAGTCAAGACTGGGCCTCTAAGCCATGTCTAGAGGCCATCTGGGTTCCCTTCCCAGGCAAATAGGAGACCCAGAGCTCTAATTTGGACTGAAGCTCTGATATAGCAGGGAAAGGCCTTGCCCTGAGCCAGGGATTTGGACCAAAAAGGGAACTAAAAACAGCTGGGCTGAGGCAAGACTGGGAATTGTTGAGAGGCTGAATGAAGTGACAAATCCATGGGGTGGGGGGAAGTAGTTGGCAGAGAGCTGAAAACAGCTCTGAGGCCAAAGGGCTTCAATCCGGGGCTGAGAGCCCTAGTAGAGGGAGGGAGGGAGGAGTGTGGACATTCTCTGAGGCAGTGATTCAGATGGATCCAGGAAGCTGTTTGTAAGACTCATGAACTCTCTCCTGTGGAGGGTGAGGTGGGGGAGAAGCTGAGGGCACTGAAGCATTTAGAAAAGAGGGTGTAGATATCTGTCACTCAGCCCTGTGTGATTTTTATCTTCAAAAATCTGTGGTGCGTAGATTTTTGGCCAGCCAGTAATTCTTACCTCCATCTTTTATACCCCTAGGTCATTCAAAATTAGTGGAACACATAGTGCTAGGGAAACTTCTGAAGCTGGAGAGACAGGACAACCTAGCCAAGCACAAAAAGGTCCTTATAAATACAGCCATGGAAGTGTGCATTTAACCAATAAGAGCTAGAGAGAAGTGTTCACAAAGGGAGGGCACATTGACGGAGTGGCCCTTGTGATTGGAACCAAGTAGAGTTTAATTGGAAGGGCTCGACAGAGAAAATGAATCTTGGGCCAAGTCTGAATCCTAGTTCAAACTATGGGAGTGGTGATGGTGGATGGGGGTGCCAGGGTAGGAGAGTCTTGTGTGAGGTGTGAGGTAGAACGTGGCAAGTTTAATGCAAGGGAGTCAGAGGATGGAGGGCCTTAAAAGCACAGTATGGTTTAGGGGTATGGGGAGCTGCTTCCTGTTCATGGACGTGATTAAGACGGCCCTTGAGGAAGATAATCATTGCTGCTTTTCTTAGATTCAACATAGCTTAGATGTGGTGTTGGCACAGTGGCCAAGAGCATGGGTATTGGGAATAGAAAGAGTGTCAGGAGTCAAGGTTGGAGATGTAGACTCGGAAATATGTGTTTGAGTGGTAACTGAACTCATTCCCTGAGCGGTGGGGGTGGGGGTGGGGTTCCCCAAGGCCAGAGAAAGCAGAGGGAAGAGGGGAGGGGAGGTAATGAGCTGTTGACACAATGATCACAGATGGCAGTGGTATCCAGATAGTCTAGTGCTCTTTAGTGAAAATGTGCCCCAAGGGATAAAGGGATGGCCTGTGGTTCATAAGCTCTTCTGGTCATTATCTGGATACCACAGGTGAAGGTGCGATGTTTGTCTCAGTTGCCTAATCTCAGTTTGGCTGTCAGACCTGAGCCAGTAGTAGATTTTTGTCCATCCACATTAGAGATGAGGAAGGGATTTGGGAAGTTATTTTTGGACTGAGGGCAGTGTTTCACATTGAACAGGACAGGAAGGATTCTTCTTATTATCTTCATCTTAATTTTGCCTAAAGTGATGTCTTGTTTTCTCTCTCTCCCAAGTTCAGCACAGCACCCAAATCTTGAAAAGCTTTATGATACTTGGCAGATGTTTGGCACATATAGAAGGTAGTCATGCATCAAGAAACGGTTCATTTGAAACAATAACCAAAGTCTCTTTCCACCAGATAATGATTCCACATGAAAACCGAACCAGTGAGGCCTTGTACAACAAAATGAACATTTCCCAGCTGAGTGCTATGATTCCCCAGGTTGGTGAAAATGATCTAGGCAATGTTACCCTAACTGGTCATTTTACAAACGACTGTACATTATCTGTGTGTGAAGTTTTGCCTTTGTAAAACCTACCATCAGTCTTATTGGTTATCATCATGTTTGTCAGTCACCACATAAAATATCCCCTGTCTGTGAGTTTGGATGCTTTCTACTGTAGGGAAAAGAAAACCTTTCCAAGAGTGGCTTAAAAACTTAAAGCCTGTTTTCTTACATGACAAGAGTCTAGATGTAGGTGGCTGTTGGTGTTGCTTTTGCTGTTGAACAGTGTTGTTAAAGACCCACGTTTGTTCTTTCCACTCTCCTTAGTGTGTTGGCTTTTTGACTTCCTGTTTGATGACTCGGGACTGTAAGGTGGCTACTGCAGCTCCAGATAGCACGTCTGCCATCAGCCAGGGAGAGAGGGGAAGGGCCAGTGATAGTCATGTCTATCTCTTTCACCAGGAAAAATACTAAAGCCTTTCCAGCATATTCCCAGATGTCTTCCCTTTATGTCTTAAGTAGGACTGGGGCTCCCCTGCCTACAGTACAGTGAGGAACTGGTTCTCCATTTCACTAGTAGATGCAGGCAGCGGAGGAAAAAAAAAAAAAAAAGAAAGAAAAAGGCTGGAAATGACTTTTGGGGTAGCCAATTAAAAACGCCAAGAGAGTGGTGCTCTGAAGAGGGGACACGTATTACTTTTTGTTGCTCCTGTAAGTAAAGCTGCCCCAGAGGGGAGACCAGTAGTGGAGCCTGGCAGGGGCAGCTGTGTGTGTCCATGAGTGAATGAGCGCAGGGAGCTTGGTGGGTGGGGGAGGGGTGTGAGGGCAAGCACAGGAGGGAGCGAAGTGGGGGGAGGGGAAGGAATGAAAGACGGCGGGGAGCTGAGGAGGGAGGTCGTGTGCTGTCCGCGGGCAGATGGTACACAACGACGACCGGAAGTCTGTGTGTGGTGCAGGCGCTAGGTCTGGGCAGCACGTGGCCAGTCGTTTCTTTTCTAGAGTTGAGCAGTCACATCTCTAGCTATTTGGTCAGAAATTACAGGCAGTGGAGGATGTTCAGCCAGCTCTCTTTGCCTCTCTCCTTGCTTGCTGCCCAGCAGATGTTCCCTCACTCTGTGTTTGTCTCTCTCCTCAGTTTGACTGGCTGGGCTACATCAAGAAGGTCATCGATGTCAGACTGTACCCTGGCCTGAAAGACATTGGCCCCGCAGAGAACGTGGTCGTCCGTGTCCCGCAGTACTTTAAGGATTTGTTTAGGATATTAGGCTCTGAGAGGAAGAAGTAAGAGCTTTCTTGTGTATTTTACCCTGACTTTTGTTTTTCCTTTTAAATTATAAGGCCTTCCCTCTCACATCCTTGGACTACTGTTGTTAAAGAAAGTTACCTCAGAAGAGTCTTAGGGAAAATCCTGGTGCCCTTTGTGACAAATTGGCCAAAATCATCGTCTGGTGTTATTTACTTGCTTTGATAGCAGATACACAATGTTTTTGCCCCTCATTTCTGGCCTTTCTCCATATTTTTCTCTCTGAAAGCTTCAATTGTTTCCTACTTTTAGGAGCTAGTTATATAATGACGTTATTTTCTGAAATTTCTATATGAACATCTCTTTTTTTCCACTTCATTCTTGGACCTTTGCTGCTTTTTTTTTCCTGGTTTCTTTTTAGCCAGTAAGTCCCTTTGTTGCAATATAGTGAAGTACCTGTGTTGAATAAGAGTAGTCTGAGAGCCATAGAAAAATTGCACTGATGAAACAACTTCAGGAACTGTCTGGTTTTTCTTATTTTATATATATTTTTAAAGATTTTATCTATTTGAGAGAGAGAGAGACTGTGCAAGCCGGCGGGGGGCGGGTGGTGTGGGGAGGGAGGGCGGTGGTGAGGAGCAGAGAGGGACAAGCAGAGTCTGTGCAGAGCACAGACCACAGTGCAGGGCTCAATCCCATGACCCTGAGATCAGGACCTGAGCCAAAATCAAGGGTCGGACACAGTGGACGCTTAACTGCTTAATCTTAACTGACTGAGCCACCCCGGCAGCCCTGGTTTTTCTTATTTATTTACTATCGTTATTTTTTAAAAGATTTTATTTATCTATTAGAGAGAGAGAGTGAGTGAGGGAGAGACAGAGCAGGAGCAGGGGAGGGGCAGAGGGAGAAGCAGACTCCCCGCTGAGCAGGGAGCTGGATGCAATGTGGGGCACGATCCTGGGACACCAGGCTCATGACCTGAGCCAAACAGTGGATGCTCAACTGACTGAGCCACCCAGGCGCCCCATGGTTTTTCATATTTTAAAGAATGTTTCAGAATTGGTTGCGCTGCTACTTTAGCACTACAAACAGGAAGATCCTAAAAATGTCCATGAAAGGGAATTTTACATCTTCATGAAGCCATTCCGATTTGACTATAGAAAATGAAGCTCAGCAAGGTCAAGTAGCTTCACAAAGGCAGTTTACTAAGCTAGATGCCAGACCATGATTAGAAATCATATTTTCTTATTTGGACTTAGGGCTATCTTGCCGGGAGTTATGTGTTAAAAAAAAAAAAAAAAAAAAAGAAAACCCCCCAAAAAGATGCCTGCAGAAGTCCTAGGAATAAAATTTAGCATCCATCCCTACCTATGGAAACACTTAAACACCTTTGAAGAGCTGCTTTCCTTTTAAGATTATATTTTATGATAAAAGCAGTATGTGTTCACTGAGAAAAGCATACAGAAAAGGGAGAGAAGAAATAATAAATTTACTTGAAATTCTACCATTTAGAGATAAGCAGTGATTCTATAAAAATTTTCTAAGTGAAAATTGAATCTAGAGGTAGGTTAGTGGATGTGTGGGTTAGAGCCTTGCTCTTCAAAGTGTGCTCCATGCCAATATTACACTATTTGGTAACTAACCAGAATTAAATAAAAAACTGAAAATAACAAAGTGTGCTCCATGGACCAGTAACGCCAGCAGCATCACCTCAGGCCCTTGGTAAAAATACAGATTCCAAGGCCCCTCGTCCTCCATAGAGGCGGAACCAGTAGTTCTGGGGTGAGGCCCTGGAATCTGAATTTTAACAAGCACCCCAGGAGAATCTTTCTGTTAGTGTTTTTGGGGGGGACTCACTAGGTTTGAAGACTTATTGTTAATCACCATTATGGCTAACGGTTACCTTTGATCTTTAAAAAAAAAACAAAACGTTGTTCCCACTTCATAGATGAAGAAGCTGAGGTAAAGTGACTTCTGCAGGACATACCTTGAAGAGGGCATGGAGTTGAGATTCTAAACTGGTTAGCCCTCGTTTCTACATCCTGTCTCTGGCACACATATCCCAGTATGGAAAAGAGACCCTTTGCAGATATTTCACTGCTAGTTGTGGAGATAGTCGGTTCCCCTGGCATTTCTAGGGTTACAAAGCCATCCTGGGTTGGCATCAGCTGGTTGCAGCTGGACTGCCGCTTGCCCTCTTCTGTCATGCCCCCTGCCGGCCTGGCGGTGGTATTAGGCTTTTCTTTCCGACCCACCGAGTGGCTGTGGGGGCGGGGGTACTGCCTCGCTGGCAGGCCACGGTGCAGGGCACAAAACGAGAGCAACGAGACCCACCAGAGCTGGTGCCAGAGGCTGCACTGGCCCTAGCAGTTCAAGGGAGTAGGTGGCCAGGGCAGGGCCATTTGGAGGCCCAAGCTGGAGGCTGCCTGTGGGGAAAGGGAGTTGGAGTTCAAGGTGGAAAGGGGGTGAAGATGCAGTGATGTGCTGGGTCCCTCACGTTTTGCCTGCCTCTTCCTAACTCCATGTTGAGTGATCTCATGTGAACAGTTTGAAATGGGAATATTCACACCATGGAAATTGGCAAATGCTACAAATCAAGTCCCCCCCTCCACCCCTACTGA